CCGCCGCGCCTTGCGCCGCCGCCGCCCCCGCCGCGGCCGCCCCGGACGCGGTCGCGGTCGCGCCCGCGGCCGCCTTCGCTCGTGGCTGCGGCGTCTGCGTCTGCGTCGCTGCTGCGCGGGACGTAGCCATCATCACCCGGCTGCTGCTTCCACCACGCAAACTCGTCAGGCCTGGCATGCGACAAAGAGGCGCAAGCTGGTGTTGGTTTGAGCCACCCAAACAGGGCGGCGGATCGACATGCGGCTGAAGTGCAGGGGGGAAGCGGGGCACTCGCGCGAGTGTGGTGTTGTCGGCGGTCGCCGCTCACCGGTCATCTTCATCCCTTGCGGATTTTGTGCCCCTGTTGCCGCGGCCACGGCGGCTGCTGCCTGCTGCGCATGTTACCACCTGCAGAAAGGCGGGGACGGCGGTGCAGTGAAAAGCGACGGCGCAGCGGCGGCGGCCGCCGAGCAATGAGCGGCTGCCGCACCACGCGCAGGCGTAGGCAGCACGAGGCCAAATGGCGGTATGTTGGTATTGCTGCGCAAGCTTACCGGGCGCTGGCAGGGCGCGCGGTGGAGGCCACATGCTCCTCGTTGGCTGATGCCGCTGTGCAGCATGCTCGCTGGCCAATGACGCAAATTCAGTGTAAGTTATATGTGTCCTCTGTGGACCGATTGTGCTAGTCCAGGTCGCTCATATACCCTTTACGGTACCTCGGAGTGAGCAAAAGTTGTGTTTCTCAACAGTCGAGCAAGACGCCGTGGTTGGTGGGGTACATCTTTGTATGTATCAGATATAAACGGGCTGCAGCCAACTGGTGCCTAATGACACCGCAACACTATGCAGTCCAGGGGCCCTTGCCGATTGAAGCGCTCACTGGCCAGGCAGACACAGCCGTGGCTGCAGCAAGCGGTTTGTCGGTCGCATGCAGGCGCATGCGCATGCCGCCGGTGGAAAATGCATGCGCATTCCGCTGGTGGAATATGCATGCTTTCTAATAGAGAATATGCCCCAAACGTGCAAGGGCTGCCTGCGCAGCCGCCTCGCCGTCCAGACCTCAAGGCTCGGCGCAGGCTTTCGAAGCATTCGACCTGTGTGCCTATGGCCCAGCAGTCCTGCGATGTGGCCAGGCGTGCGGCATGTGTTTTCAATGTTCAAGCAGCCTGAGCAGCGGTTCCTGCAACGGCTTGGATGTTGAGCAGGTGGGCTTGCTTTGCGCATCCGATCACGCTTTGGACCGCGCGACGGGTTGGTGGATGACGGTAGGGAGCACGGCCCGGGTTGTGAGGGGATGTCATAGTATTTCTTCTTGATGTGATTTGCATGCTCCTATGTGGATACATGCGTGTGTGCGTACGTGCGTGCGTGCGTGCGTGTGTGTGTGTGTGTGTGTGTGTTTAGAAAGTGTGTGCATTTGCGTACGCGTGTGTGGCAGAGGCTGGGGTCTGTGCGCGCGACAGCTTGTGTATGCACGTGTGCGTACCGGTATTCACGAGCTACATAATGAGGCTGGGCATAAAGTGGTCGTCCCTATCTGCGCCTGCACCAGAGGTGCGCCTTGCTCTTGTCGCTGCTGGTCGCCCACTACTGCCGGGCCGATCTGGCAATCATGTCATGTGCCCTGACATCTTCGAGAGTGCTGGACTATCCTGAGTGTCAGACCCTGTGCATGCTTACGTGCACAGGCTCCCGGCACAAGCATGGGCTACTGGCAGAGCGCCTTAGCCATACAAGGGGGGACGCCTTTCACAAAAAGCAGCACGTTAAGGCTCACATTACAGACAAAACAATAGCCGGCATGGCAATGCGGCAAGTAACTACGCTAGACGTTCAACAAAACAGGGTTGGGGCTGACTGTACACGGCGCCTGGTCGGCGCCCTGTGAAGACCGCCGTTGTACACGGCGTCACTCGGCCAAATCCATCGCCCGTAGCAGCGGGTGCGCGCGCGCGTGCGAACGCAAACATGTGCAGGCCCACGCGTCCGAGCGGCGCTGAAAACAGCGCGCATCCAGACGCGGTGGGCGGCGACGGATGAGAGCCATGCATTCCAGTGATTCGGTCACTCCTGCACCGACCGTGGCCGAGATCGATGGCTCGGCCCCGCAATGACTGCGCAGTGCGCAGGCTGTCATGTCGCAGCAGCCAGCGCACGCCCAAGCCCCACCCTCAACAAAGGCAGGTTTTCAAGCTTCGAAGCGCGTGGCCCAAGACTTGGGGTAGTAGAACGCGCCAGCCCTCTCAGCCCCACACCACACCCGCAGTGGCAACACACGCCACCCCAGGCGCGCTGCCAGCCAGCACGGCGCACCGCGCGGGGGCGGCCCTGGCGGGCTGGGGAAGGCGCGGGCGGGGCGCCGCGCGGCTGCGGCTGCGGCCGCCGCCTAGTGGCCGAGGCCGCCGATGTTGAGGAAGGTGAGGACACCGTCAATGCCGTGAGCCAGGCCGGCGCCGCACTGCACGTTGGCCTCCACAATCTTGGCAGAGTTGGAGCCGACGCCGCGCACAACCATGCCGTCGCCGGTGAGGGACCTGCCGGCCACAAAGGTGGGGATGGCGCGCTTGGGCAGGGGCGCCCTCACAACCTGCGGGCCATGGGGAGAGTGGTTCAAAGCAGTGACAAAGGGGTGATTGGTGTCTGTAAATTTGGGGGTGATTACAGCTGAGCGCGTGTGCAGGCTCGGCCAGAGCCCACATGGGGTGTCCAAAGGGCTGCAGCGCTTTGGGTGCAGCTGCAGTCAGCCCTGGGACCCCACAGCCTTGGGGGCACGGCCAATGTCTCGAGTTCAGCCGGGCAGAGGGGCACAGACATTCTGAGGCACGACTGCCTCTGGTTACCACTCCCATGGCGCGGGCTCGCCCCAGCCGTGGCGGGCGGCGCACCTCCTTGGCGATGTGGTAGTAGACCACCTGCTGCATGAGGGCCTTCTGCCCCGCCAGCGCGTTGAAGGAGACGCCGGTCCTGGCCTCGGCCGCGGCAAAGGCCTGGGGCAGGGGGACGAGGGGGTTGCGCATCGCACACAGGGTCAGCAGGAGTGGATGTAGGGGAGCAGGGGCGGCGCAGCGGTGAGGAGGCGCAGTGTGAAGCAGGCCGCGAATGGGCAATTGCGAGGTTGATCCGTGCGCTGTTTGCTCACAGCGTTGGTGGGCACAAAGACGGTGAGCTTCAGGCCGGGGTTGCTGAAGGTGTTGGTGAGGCCCAGGGTCTTGATAACGCCCGCGATGCGGGAGAAGTTGGGCTGGCCCAGGGCCGCCACAAAGTTGGGGTACGTCGCAGCCTGGGCAGTGCCTGCGGGGGCGGACACAAGGCGGCGGCGGGCGCAATGGCGGCAGAGAGCCTTGAATCAGAAAAATCTGTATGGTACACAACTTTTGCTGAGGGTTGCCACAAGTAGCCCTTCGCTGCCGCAACTATTTTGACCGCGCGTCCGTGACTCTCCGCTGCATGGGCAGCACAAAGGTGCTGTCGCCGACTGGGTAATCAAGTTCACAGCAGAAATTTTCGTAACATGGGGTGTCTCGCTGTTTGTGAAGCCCTGCACACCATGGCACTGCACGAAAATGCACCCACGAGTACAACGCACAGGCGGGCTCTGCTCCCTAATCGATTCGAAATCTCCTGCTCACCAAGTAGGCACATGGCCAAGAGGCAGCAAACAATCGCCGCAGACCGCATGGTGTTTAGCCGCTGTGCTGTTTGAACGACTTGATTAGATGCAATGCGTGAATGGATGGTTTAAACTGCTGAAGACTTACTTGTGAACAAACCAGGCCGCGATTTATGATTGTCACCGCAACGAAGAGCAGCTCCACACCCGTCGGCTACTCACTCCGGCGGGTTACACGGGCTCCATTCGAGGTTCAGGTTCGATAAGCATGTGATGGGTACAACTCAAGCCAGTTCCGCCGCGTGCTCGACATCATACGCAGCAGCCAAGCCGCACGTCCCCCTGGCGCCGCCGCTTCCGGTTATCAGCGCAATGTGTGACCAAGCAGCAGCCACGACAGCTGCTTGTGCTGCGCGCAGGTGCGCAGCTGACCGTCCGATGCGCCACGTGCGGCCCCACATAATGCGCTCATAAGATGGCACAACGCGGCAACAGGATGAAGTGTACATCCAAGTGCTGATGCATGCGCCTGCGCACGTTGTGGTCCCATGAAGATGTGTGCTCACGCATCACTGATGGAGGGGGGGGGGGGGGCAGCTCAACGACTCAATTTCCCCCGATGCCCGCTGCCGTACGAAGCAGTGCCTACTGATGGGAGTTGACGGCCGCGCAGCAGCACGCTGGGCGCGTGAGGCTGAAGAGCGTGGGAAGCCAGCGGCTTACCCGGTCAGGGCATGCAACAATCAGGCACCGGGTTGGCGCCCTGCATCGCCCCGTCTGCAGAGGCCCTCATTCCAGCGGTGGCCGCATTCCTTACAAGTTTATTTGAGGATGTGTGTAAGCTGGGCAAGGCAAATGCAGGAGGGATGTGACAGTGCTCCTGCTCTCGTAAAAATGCGACGCGCGTCACAACCGCCGCATTTCCACCAGTCCAGGCGATGGGCAGGGTCCAGTCTGCCCTGCGCCTGGGCCGCACGGTGCGGACGCGGCGCATGGGAGCGAGGTACTCAGAGAGTGAATCTGTCAAGCATGCGTGAGCGTGCGCGCGGCGGCAGCGAGCGCATCGCGGGGGCACCGCGTGGCCTGAGACGGGACTAATCGACCGCAGGATGTGTGTGTGCTGTGCGCATCCAGTTGCAGCGCACAGGCTGGATTCCTGTAGTGTGGGCAGCGGGTTGTAAATCTACCAGGATACGGTACATTTGCGACAAAACAGTCTTGATGACGTACACAGTGGCTATGACATGCTCCCTGTCCAGCAAGAATGACGCCCGATTCCTTGGTTTGCCAAATCAAACGAAACAAATAAGTCTATCAAGCTCGGCCAAATCATTACTGGAACCCCACTATTTGCTCATTCAACCCAGCCCCTGGCCACACATTGCGCCACTCGGCCGCCGTGCTTAACCTGCACACGAGGGCGCCAAGTCCCAACACGGGCAGTCCGCGGGGGTGGAACCGCCGCTCGCTCTGAGGAGCCCCGCCCGCCTGCAGGGCCCTCACGCCTGGTCCCCTTCGCCCCGTCGACTCCTGCCGTGGCGCTGCTGTGCCTCCACAGCAGACCGCCGGCGGCGATCACCGCCGCGCGCCTGGCCGGGCCGAGCCCCTGCAGGGCCAGCGCTGGCGGCACCGGCCCGGGGTTCACAGCGTGAGCCCCCAGGGCTCCAGGCATCGCGCCAGGGCCTGGGGGTGGTGGACGTAGGCCAGGAAGAGGCCGTAGTTGGTGACAGGGACGCCCGCCTCCTGGGGGGGTGGGGGTGAGGGGGAG